ACTGCGCGACCTTGACAGCATCCGTCGTCCGTTTACACGGAATGAAATGCACTATTTTAGAGAACCTGTCAACCACAACAAAGATAGAATCATTGCCGCGCTGTGTTCGCGGAAGACCAAGAACAAAGTCCATGCTGATGTCCGTCCACGGCTGAGTCGGAATTGGCAGAGGTAAGTATAGGCCGGCATTAGAATCGTGACCCTTAGCTACTTGACACGCGCGACATCTCTCGACAAAGCGCCCAACATCCCGTCTCAGTGAAGGCCAATAGTACAAAGATGACACCAACTGTAAGGTGCGATCGTGGCCTACATGTCCCTCCGAATGCAACTCCTCAATCACTCGCAAACGCAAGCTGCAATCAAGAACGCACAACTGAACCCCGCGAAAGAGAAAACCATCCACCAGCGAAAAATCATCCGGACTCCTGCCTCAACATCGGACAAAACCTTGCTAAAGAAAGGGTCCGATACATACAGTTCCAAAAAAGTAGCGAACCCTGCAACCGATGTATGCATTGTCGTCAAAAGTGTATGCCGCCGACTCAAAGCATCAGCCACGCGGTTCAGTTTACCCGACTTATGCCGGATCGTAAACGTGAATTGCTGCAGAAACGCAATCCACGCAGCATGTCTCGCCGAAACCTTCACCTGACTGTCGAGATGTTTGAGAGCATCGTGATCTGTAAAAAGCACAAAATCCCGATGGACAAGGTAATGCCTCCAGTGTTTGATCGCCTGAACCACAGCATAGAATTCAACATCATATGTGCAGTAACGACTACGTGCACCAGATAACTTCTCGCTGAAGAAAGCGACTGGCCGTGACAACTGACTTAAGACAACACCTATTCCAAGCTTCGAGGCATCACAGTGGAGCTCGAATGTCACAGAGAAATCAGGCAGAATAAGTACCGGAGCTGTCGTAAGCTTTTCCTTGATCAAGGCGAAAGCTTCACTCGCTGCGGCTGACCTTTCGAACTTAGTATCGCGCATACAATCAGTGATGGGCGCCATAATGGTGCTAAAGTGGGACACAAACCTCCTATAAAAAGAAGCTAGCCCGTGAAAGCTTCGCACCTCCGAAACAGTACGTGGCTCTGGCCATGAACTGATCGCATCGACCTTGCTCTCATCCATAGCTAAACCATTACTCGAGATAACGTAGCCCAAGAACAACACGCGATCCACTCCCAGTTCGCATTTCTGGCGTGCCACAAAAAGAGATTCACGCCGCAACACCATAAGAACATCGCGCAGGTGTCGAACATGGTCGTCCATCGAAGCACTAAAAATCAGGATATCGTCGAAGTAGACGACAACGAACTTACCAATATATGGTCGCAATGCCTGATTCATCACTCGCATGAACGTACTTGGCGCATTAGAAAGGCCAAACGGCATGACCATCCATTCGAACAAACCCTCTCGAGTCTTGAATGCAGTTTTCCATTCATCTCCAGGTCGGATGCGGATTTGATGATATCCACTCTTGAGATCCAACTTCGAGAACACCACAGCAGAACCAATATGATCCAACAAGTCATCTAACCGGGGAATCGGAAAGCGGTAGCGTACCGTAATCTTATTGATAGCGCGACTATCAACACACATCCTCCAAGAACCATCCTTCTTGGGAATAAGAAGGGCTGGCACTGCACACGGACTTAGACTCTCCCGAATGTGCCCTTTCGCAAGCAGCTCCTCCACCTGTCTGCGTAACTCCTCATGTTCCAATGGACTCATTCGATAATGAGGACGATTAGGCAAGACCGCTCCTGGAACCAAGTCAATATGATGCTGAATGTCACGTAATGGTGGGAGGTCCTTGGGTAAATCCGTAGGGAACACATCAGAAAATTCGGTCAACAAAGCCGTTAACGATGTGGTAACGACGCTGCCACAGGGACCGACGCTGGTTTGCTGATCAACGCCAACGCAAAGCCCATCTCCTTCATTTCGAACTCAAAGCTTGACTTGGAACAGAACAGAACCGGTTTAGCAGTGGTAGCAGGAAGCGCTTTGACAAGACCTCTGTCCACTAAAGGTGCTGATAATGGCGGTGTATCTAGATTAGGAGTTAGCACTATCCGACGCTTATCAAAGACAAAACTGTAGACATTGCTCTTGCCGCTATGTGAGACATCCCTGTCATACTGCCACGGACGCCCCAGCAATAAATGACTAACATCCATAGGTGCTATATCACAATAAAGTTTGTCCTTGTAATACGCTCCAATAGAGAACGACACTAGCACACATTGCGTCACCGCAAGTTCAACCCCATCTTTTAACCAAGTGAGCTTGTAAGGCGTCGGATGACCTTCACGTTTTAACCCGAGTTTCTCTGTTGCCTCCTCTGACACCACGTTCCTGCTACTGCCTGAATCAATAACAAAACGACACACTTTCCCTTTGATCGTACAAGTAGACTGGTAAATGTTAGAGCGCAACCAAGGTTCCTCCACCTGAATAGGTGTGAAACAAATACGACGCAGCATCAACATAGTACCCGTGTCGCCACTAGTGCGATCTACTGGTATCTCATCCTCCTGCTCTTCAACATCTTCACCATCATACTCATCCCATTTCACCTCCTCTGTAAAGAGACCACGACGCGTCTGCTTAGGGAAAGCCGTTTGTCTGTGACCCGGTTCACCACAAGAGAAACAACGCAAGGCGTTTGGTCGCGAGGAACGACGCAGAGCTTTCTGTCCACCGCACCTGTTGTAATTGCACCTTGCACTCGAGCAGAGGCACTATCGCTCACTTCACGAACGCTGGTGTTAGTCTGCGCGATGTCAGAACCTGAAGGAACCACAGAGCGAACACGGTTAACCATCGAATTCCACCCAGAAGATCCTGACTTGAATTGCGTCTCAAAAGCAACAACTCTCCTATGCGCTTCCGCCACTGTCATTGGATCAAACTGAGCCATAGCGTTCTGAATTTGAGGACGCAATCCGCCAATGAAGCGAGATACAAGTTGATTCTCACTATCATGCACCTCGTTCCTTGTTAGAAGCAAAGAAAATTCCTCCGCATAATCATCAACTGAACGAATTCCCTGACGCAGGTTTTGAAGACGCGTGAACATCGTTCGGTCAAAGTTGTAGGGCAGGAAACTCTGGCGAAGCAACTTCTGCAACTTTGCCCAAGTAGTGATCTTTGCTTTGCCCGCACGAGCCCGAGAAGCTTTGACTTGCAACCACCATGACGCCGCTTTGCCTCGAAAACGCGTCGCCACCAACGCTGCTTGTCTCTCCTCAGGTACTTCTTTAAACTCCAAGATTTCGTCCACAGCAACTATCCAATCCAGAAGCTCTTCGCCGCGAATGCCGCCGTGAAACTCCGGAATATCGAGCTTAAACCCGTTCTCCCAACGGCGATCATCGATGTTATGACCGCGAGCGCCATCTCTGTGTCCTCTGCGGCGTTGAAGCTCCGCAAAAGGATTCTCCTCCTCCGACGATTCTTCCTCCGACTCTGATCGCTCTTGTTCTCGTTGCTGGAGAACAGTTTCAGCGAGCTCCTGAATCGAGTTTTCCTGCATCGCCACAAGGGTTCTCCATAGCTCAGTCCACTCGTTCAGGGGTTCTTCGTTACGGCGATCTCCGGCTTGCTAGTTGGTGTTTCTCTTCGGTGCCATGATCGAACACAACAGCACTGAACAGGAACGTCACTTGCTCTGATACCAAAACTGGCGCAGCGTCAAGCTAAAAGAACTCGAAGTCCGTTGATTCTACGAATGGCCGTACGACGAGGGTTCTTGAATATCGATAAAGCTCATGAATATCGATAACAAGGGAATTGAACTGAATAGTTCTATGAATTAATAATCAAAACTGAGTTTAACCTTACAATGAAAGCAAGCTTAAATAACGATGCAAAACCCTAATGCAAAGGAAAACTTCCTACTAAAGTTAAAAGGAAATTAAAGAGATAAAAACCAAAGCCTTAATTAATAACTAAAAGCCCATATGCGAATAAGTAGAATAAGTCGAACATAAGCCAAGGCGGTCAATGTTCGAATGTGATGATACGCTGCATCATAGTTGCTGTGCCGTCTAAGGAAAAGGGAGGAAGAGACTTCCATTTTACCACACCTGGGACATACCACCACCGTCAGCGATCCACCGCAGCACCATCGAGGCAAGGAGGAGCCATCTAGGTCAAGTTTAAGACATTGCTTACGCTGCAAGCTACTGCTGTAACCCTACCGTACGTGACCACAGTCGACGACCTCTACTTCCTATCTGCTCTGATTGTTTCCGATCTTTATCTCTATTATCTCCGTTCATCCTTAAGGCTAAGGTGAGTAACGAAATCGTGTTTTCCCATACCGTTGCTACTTTGTTCTATTACTAAGTCTATGGTTAAGTCGGGAGTATATATGTTATGCTTTAGGCGAAATGATATATATATACTTGGTGAGGATTGTATACTGTTGTAGGTGGGCTGAGCACAGCCCTCTTTTTGTAATTTCAACCAGGCCCATTAGTAAATTGGAGAAGGCCAACGAGCTCAAAGAATAACAAGCCCATTCACAAAGCCAAAACGAGGTCGTTCGATGAGATGAGCTTCCCATATCAAAAGGATCAGTTCGCCACGTCGACGTTGAAGGAGTAGCTCGCCACGTCGACGTTGATGCAGCTCGTCAGCGGGACATTCCGATAGACGGTCGCCCAAGCTACTCTGACCGAGATGTAACCTAATTCGAACACTATAAATAGCCCTGTAACTTCATTTATTACGGGATCCGTAATCTTAAAAAGAGACAAAAAATACTCAATACTTGTGATTGCTAACTCTTACTTCGCAAGCTAACCTCGTTGAAACAACCTCGAAGCATTCATATCGAACTCGCCTCTATATAACAAGAATCTTCGAGCTCCACCTAGATATATTTATTAACGTGACCTCGTGTGCGGATACAATACAACAATTGGCGCCCGCCGTGGGGCTAAGAGATTTCTTTCTACGCAAAGAAGAGCTCGATAATGTCAGGAATTCAAACCAACGAGACGACCAGTCTACCCACATCGACTACCGCCGAGGAGAGACTTAACGTATCACCAGCTACCAACCCAGAAACCTCGAATAGGCAACCACCGACGATGAATCCCGTAGAAAACGCGACCTTACGCCCAGAAGCACCAGATGTAAACCAAAGCACACCAGCTCCTGCAGACGTCGCGACACTATTTGCGACGATGATGGCTCGAATGGAAGAGTTGAATCATCAGACAAGTGCTCGCCTGAACGAACTAGCAGCAGCACAACTTTCTTGTCAAGACCAAGTCAACATATTACACTCGTCAGAGACTCAAGCCCCGGAGAGACGAGCACAAGAAATTCAGCGTGTACAGCGCGCCTTATTCGGAGACTCTCCCGCACCACCAACGACAGAAAATCATCCAGCCTCGAATTGTGACGAGGTGAATATCGGAGCTCCCAAACACGAAACGCGTCGACTTCAAATTAGAAACTCGCAACAAGATGAAGAAATGAACGAAATGAGGACCAAGTTGCGAGCCATGACCTTGCTAGTACATCAGGCTACTAGCTCGGCGCCTGAGATCGATCGCGTACTGAAAGAGAGCCAAAGCACCCCGTTTACAACCCGAATCACCGATTTCCCGATACGAACTCAAGTGAAGTTCAACCTTCCGACGTATACTGGCAACTCAGATCCAAGCCAGTTTATGACCGCGTTCAGCATCCAAATGGGTCGAGCACGATTCACCCCCGAGGAGAAAGATGCTGGTTTTTGCCAGCTGTTTGTCGAAAATCTCAGCGGTGCGGCCCTCGTTTGGTTCTCCATGTTAAAAGCGAATTCGATCGACAGCTATCAAGCGTTGTCGACAGCTTTTCTCAAGAGATACATGATGTACGTCCAAGGCGCAGTTTCCAGTGCCGACCTCTTCCAGATCAAACAGGGCGACAAAGAATCCCTTCGATCTTTCATCGGCAGGTTCAATGCGATTATTTCTCGTATTACCGTGACCGACGAAGCATCGCTATCGGCCCTTCGGAACGCCCTACGAATCGATACGAAATTTTGGGACAGCCTCAAGTTCAGTAAACCCCAAACTCTAGAAGACGCGCTTCACCGTGTCACCTCGCCAGTAAAGGCAACGCCAAAGCAGCAGCCTCACAATGAAATCCCAAAACAAGATTATCAGGAACCTCGACAACACCTCGACAACAACTATCGAGGTGACAATCGCCGGGGAGCGACACACAACATTAACACTCAACAGCAACAGAATCGCCAGTATCAAAACCAATCGCGCGACCTTTCTGCGACTATCACAACAAGTACGGTCACCCAACTGCGATGTGTCGCGAATTACAAGCTTATTTGCTCGCCAAATATCGCAAGGGAGAGATCGCATTAGCAAACCAGCCCCAAAATACCGCGCCGCGTAACAACGAAGCTCGATCAACAATCTCCACCGAGCAGCTTCCACCCCCTCCCCCAACAAACGAACGACCCAACGACGACCTCGCAAAGAGAGATCGAGGTAATCAAACTCGAGGTGACACTCCTCCGACATCTCGCAAAAAGGTGTTCTTTATTATGGGAGGCCTATCGACATGCAACTACTCCGTTAGGTCGATAAAAAAGTACGGCCGCCAAGTCATGCTTGCACAAAAACGGCAGGTCAAAAGCCCCAAGACTGCAGAAAACGATGCAATCACATTCACCGAGGCCGACATGGAGGGAGTCGACATGCCACATAACGACCCGCTTGTGATCGAGCTGCGGGTTGCAGATTGCGAGGTATCGCGGATACTGGTCGACACAAGAAGCTCAGTGGACCTGATTTTCAAAGAAATGCTTGACAAAATGGAACTGGCAAACCATCACCTCAAGTCTTCGGTTAAGCCACTCCCAGGGTTCGACGGGGATACGGTTTACTTTTCTGAACAATCAGACTCCCGGTCTACGCAGCAAAGACGACCCGCCTTGTCAAATTTGTCATCATCGACAAACCTGCCATCTACAACGTGATTCTGGGAACACCATGGCTACAATCCATGAAGGCGGTGCCATCAACCTATCATCAATGCCTCAAGTTCCCAACCGCGTTCGGGGTAAAAACTATTCGAGGCTCTCAAGAGATATCAAGACTCTGCTTCGCCGCCGAACACAAGCTTCGATTCAAATCCATGGTCCCATCCAAGGCGTGCCTTACGATTTTACCCATAACCCAAGCCGATTTACCATCTCAGGAAAGACCCAAGCAAGAACTCGTCGTCCAAGTAAACATCGACGAAAGTGACCCCGAACGATGCGTAGGAATCGGAGCCGACTTAAAAGAAGAGATCAAGGTGGAGCTCGTAAGACATCTTTGCCGAAATGCGTCGACGTTCGCCTGGTCAGTACGTGATATGCCTGGGATCGATCCCGCGATAACAAGTCACGAGCTCAACATCGATCCTACGTTTAAGCCAATCAAGCAGAAAAGGAGAAAGTTAGGTCCAGAGAAAGCCCAAGCTGTCATGATGAAGTCGAACATCTGTCGAATGCCGGATCGATCGTCGAGGTCAAATACCCGGAGTGGTTAGCAAACCCAGTTGTCGTCAAAAAGAAAAATGGCAAATGGCGAATCTGCGTGGACTTCACCGACCTCAACAAAGCATGCCCAAAGGATAGTTTTCCCTTACCACATATAGATCGAATTGTCGAGGCAACGGCAGGGAACGAGCTCTTGTCATTCATGGACGCCTTCTCCGGCTATAATCAAATCACAATGCATCCCGAAGATCGTGAAAAGACGTCCTTCATCACTGACCGAGGGACCTACTGTTATAAGGTAATGCCGTTCGGCTTAAAAAACGCGGGCGCAACGTACCAAGGACTGGTCAACCACATGTTTGCCGATCAGTTGGGACGAACGATGGAGGTTTACATCGACGATATGCTAGTGAAGTCACTTACCGCCGGTGATCACATCGGTCATCTACAGGCTTGCTTCACCGTTCTGAACCAATATCAGATGAAGCTCAATCCGACTAAGTGTACCTTCGGAGTTACATCCGGAGAATTCCTCGGTTACATCATCACTAAACGAGGAATCGAGGCAAACCTCGAAGCAGATCGATGCCCTAATCAATCTCCCTTCACCTCGCAACACTCGCGAGGTTCAACATCTTACCGGCCGGATCGCAGTGCTTAACCGATTCATCTCTCGCTCGACAGATAAGTGTCTCCCGTTCTATCAGCTCCTCCGAGGTAATAATTGCTTCGAATGGGATAGCAAGTGTGAAGAAGCTTTCCAACAATTAAAGGGATACCTCGCTAGCCCACCAATTTTAGCAAAACCCGAAACGGGCGAAACCCTCTACCTTTACATCGCTGTGTCGAGCTCGGCGGTAAGCGGCGTTTTAGTCAAAGAAGATCGAGGCGAGCAGAAACCGATTTTCTACGTTAGTAAAACTCTGGACGATGCAGAAAAACGATACCCAACCTTGGAGAAACTCGCACTTGCGGTCATCATGTCTCCCAGAAAGCTAAGACCTTACTTCCAATCTCATTCAGTCGTCGTCTTGACGAATCAACCACTTCGAACGATACTACACAGCCCAAGCCAGTCAGGTCGCATGGCAAAGTGGGCTGTCGAGCTGATGGAATACGATATTGAGTATCGAAATAAAATAAGCGCCAAATCGCAGGTCCTCGCGGATTTTCTGGTAGAGCTTCCCCCGGAGTTAATCCAGACCGACCTCCCTGACGAAAAATGGTCTCTATACGTCGACGGATCCTCCTCGTCCCGAGGCGCGGGTATTGGCATCCGATTAGAATCCACGACAAAAGAAATTCTGGAGCAATCATTCCGACTCGAATTTCCAGCCTCGAATAATGAAGCATAGTACGAGGCTCTTCTCGCAGGACTTCGTCTAGCCCAAGGAATCGGGGTCAAGAAAATCGAAGCTTTCTGCGACTCCCAGCTCGTTGCCAGCCAATACAGCGGCGACTACGACACTAGGAACGACCGGATGGATTTATATCTTAAATTAAGAGCCTCACAGATCGCTTCGAATCTTTCTCACTCACCAGAATTCCGAGAAGTGACAACACTTCGGCAGACGCACTGGCCGCTCTCGCTTCGACTTTCGAATCACATCAACGGCGCGTTATCCCGGTCAAAAGCATCAATTCCCCCAGCATCGTCCTACCTCGAGGAGTATGTGCAGTTCGGGAACTCGAAGCAAACAGGTTAGACGCCATCGAATTGCCTCCCCCCGAGGTCATCGACGAGCTTGCTGAACAAGAGCCAACTATCGAGGACTGGAGGATCGAAATCTTGCTCTATATTACAGATGGCCAAGTCCCACCCGACCGATGGGCGGCGAGGCGTTTAAAAGCTCGAAGCGCCAAATAAGTTCAGTCACACGGCAACCTCTATCGTTGGAGCTCAACAGGCGCCCTTCTCAACTGTCTGCACGGCGAGGAGACAGTCGATGTCATGCGAGAAACACACGAAGGAGCGTGTGGAAATCACTCCAATGGTCGAGCTCTCGCTCTAAAAATCAAGAACCACAGTCATTTTTGGCCGAAAATGCTTACCGATTGTGATCGATTCGTAGCTCGCTGCGACCAATGCCAACGACATGCGCCGATGATCCACGCACCAGCCGAACTTCTGGCTGCTTCCTCGCCACCTTATCCCTTCATGCGATGGGCAATGGACATCATGGGTCCACTTCCTCGATCCCGACAGAAACGATTCATACTTATCATCACCGATTACTTTACGAAATGGGTCGAAGCTGAATCCTACGCCAAAATCAAAGCAACCGACGTGAAGAACTTCGTCTGGAAAAACATAATCTGTCGCCACGGACTACCCTACGAGATCGTCACCGATAATGGCCCCCAGTTCATCTCCGATTTATTCGAGGACTTCTGTGCCAAATGGAAAATACGACTTAGCAAGTCAACACCGCGATACCCACAAGGAAACAGATAAACCGAGGCAACCAACAAGACTATCCTCGACGGCATCAAAAAGAGACTCGAGGATAAGAAGGGCTTATGGGCAGACGAGTTAGACGGAGTCCTATGGTCACATCGAACCACACCGGATCGACGAACAAAACTCCTTTCTCGTTGTCTCACGGCGTGGAAGCCTTAGCTCCCGCTGAGGTCGGTCTACCAACCATACGCAGAACGATGTTGACGCAAGACGGTAAAAAGAACGGAAGAATGATGAAGGATAGTCTCTACATGCTCGAGGAGGAGCGAGATCACGCTCTGTTGCGTATGCAAAACTATCAGCAGCAAATCTCACGTTACTACAACAAACGAGTGAAAGGTAGGCACTTTGAAGCTGGAGACCTCGTCCTTCGCAAGGTGTTCGAAAATACCGAAGAATACCGTGCCGAAAAACTGGGCGCAAAGTGGGAAGGCCCCTACCAAATCACCAACGTTGTAAAACCTAGCGTTTATGAGCTCATGACGATGGATGGCGAAATGATACCACAATCATGGAACTCGATGAACTTAAAGCGGTATTAAAAAAAAAAAAAAAAAAAGACGCTCACCGAGCTATACTCGGTCGAGCTAGATCTCGAATGTGAACTACGATCGGCTTGATCCCAGTTTGTTGGGTACGTAGGCAACCTCTCACGAGGTACAGATATTAATGAAATTTTATTTCTACGAACTTTTACATCGACATCTTTTACATCGACATCTTTCACATCGACATCTTTCACATCGACATCCTAGCTAGATGTTCGATCTCCTAATACGCATTTCCCTACAATGCAAGCTCTTAATAAATCCTAAAGAACAAAAACCTTACGATTATAAGAGAATAAGTCGGGACCAGTCCCGCATCCTTTCTTAAATCACCCGAATAACTACGTCGAGATCATTCTCACTATTCGGACACGATTAATGAAATTAAACAGGGTAAGCCGATTCATACCTCGCACCTATTGTTCCCTTAAGCCGAGTTTCACCTTGCACCCATTGTTCCCTTAATCTGAGTTTTACTTTGCAAATACTGTTTTACTATGACTAAGTCTTTACCTCGTATTAGTCGTTTTGCTTTACTTAAATATACCTCGTATTTATTATCTTTTCACGATTCAAATTGCGAGCTGATACTTCGGAAAAAGAGCATTCATTAATGAGATTAGATCGGGTCCTTACAAACGAAGAAAAACAGAAAGTAAAAAAAAGGGGGGGGGGGCGATAACAAAGAAAGAGAAAGATGATGAGATCTATTCTTCAGGCTGAGTGCCATCCTCGCGATTCTCTTGGTCTTCAGCGTCGTTGTGGTGGTCAGGCTGAGTGCCATCCTCGCGATTCTCTTGATCTTCAGCGTCGTCGTGGTCTGAACCACCGTCCGGAGTCTCGGGAATTGGCGGAGGCAAGTCACCTTCCTGAAGATCAGCTAGGCAAAGTCCCTCGAGTTTCAGCTCGCAGTCACGTACGGTCGCCTCAAGCTCGGCCCTTAACTCGACCTCGGTCATCTCATTGTCTTTCAAGATATCGAGGCATTCAAGAGTACCTCGAGCCTGAACGAGATCTAGCTTCACCTTCACAATGGCCTCCTGTTCAGCAATGAAAGTCCTTAATCGACCAATGCGACCCGAGAACTTGTTCTCTGCATCCCCCAAATCCGAGTAGTCTCGGATTCTATCTTCTCCTCGGCATGTCGTTTGACGCGAGCTACTTCAGACGCAACCGACTTCTCAGCCTGAATCTTCGCCTCGTTGACCGTTTGAAGATTGCTGATCAGATCCTGGTTCTCCAACTTCAGCTCCTCGATCTTATCGGTCAACGTCTTTACGCCTTCTTCCAACTGCACAGCACGTCTTTTTTCGACCTGCCACTTCTCTTCAGCCAACTTTTGCCGAGTAATCGCGGCATCCCGCTCTTCCACGGCTCTTTGTCCAGCGGACTGAGCGTTACAAAGCTTCGTAGCAGCAGCTCGAATCGTACGATGATATCGACCTCGCGCACGGTTGCAGCTCGCGATGAACTGATAAAAAAAA